GATCCAAGCCCAAATAAAATGTGGAAAGTTGATTAGCAAGGCTAGCAACCTACCAATCGTAAATACAAATACTGCTCAAAGAAAAATGTAAAGCCTCGAAACCGGATTGATACTATAAAGACGACTACGGCAAGAAATAAGAACAAGCGAAAAACATCCAAAACATAGATGAGAATTACTATTTGGAATATCAGATCGCTCAACTCAAGGGACCAAGAAATAACCCAAGTGCTGAAAGAGAAAGAAATATACATTTTTGCTCTACAGGAAACAGAAAAGAAAGGAAAAGGTAAATCAAAATTAGTTGTATACATAATAATCTACAGTGGTGTAGCAAAAGAAACCAGGGACAAAGAAGGTGTAGCCTTATTAATACACCAAAGGTACCAAAATCACATCAAAGAGTGTCAATATATATTACAAAAAATAGTAGCAGCAAAGATAAGAATGAAGAAGAAAGACCAATATACATCATTAGAGTATACGGCCCAGAAATTAACAAGCCTTAAACAACAATGGAAGAGTTTTATGACCAATTACAACAAGTATTCGATCAAGTCAGAGGAAAGATTATAATATTGGGGGATTTTAACACTCGAAAAGGCAATCAAGTAATACCCGGCATTAAACAAAAACATAACGAGAATGTTAAAAACGAAAATGGAGCACTGATGATCAACTTCTGCACGAATAATGAACTAAGAATAAACAACCCACTCGTTGAGCCCACTTCTCTTTAATATATTAATGGAAAAAATAAGACAAGCAGTACGTAAAGGTCATGACTACAAAATGGGGAACAAAGAAATCCAAGTATTATGTTATGCAGACGACGCGCATTAATCGCCGAGACAGAAGACGAGCTCCAAAGATTACACATATCTTCAATACAACAGCTAAGAAATACAATATCATAATATCAGCAGACAAAACCAAATGTATGACAATATCTAAATACCCACTACGGTGTAAAATCGAAATTGATGGGAAACTAATAAATCAGGAAGAAAAGTTTAGACATTTGGGAATATAGATAACTAGTTACGAAGATGTTGAAAAAGAAGCACGACAACAAAGCTTAAAATCAAGTAAAGTGGCGGGATCTCTTAATGACACAATCTGAAAGAACAAACACCTAAGACAAGACACAAAAACAAGAATCTATAAAGCAGCAATTAGACCTATATTAACATACACGACGGAGACAAGACCTGACACATCTGAAACGAGCCGACTGCTAGAAACAACAGAGATACAAATATCCCGACGAATATCAGGGAGAAGCGAAAACATAAGAAAAGCATACATATAGAAGACACACATGGATGGGTGACAAAACAAAAACAGAAGTGGAACGAACATATCAGTAGAATGGCAGAGGATAGAATAGTACGAATAGAACAAGATAAGTTACCAAATGGACGAAGAAGTATTGGCAGACCAAGAAAAAGATAGTGCAACAATTTTGGAGCATAATATTGAAAAAGAAACAGACTGTAAAGCCTATATACTAGAAGGAAGAAGAAGAAACACCAACACAAATATACATTTAATAACACCCGTGGACAAAGATCTATGCTAGATTATGTTATAACCAACAGTGATATACATTCATCGAAAATAATCGACGTCAGATGCCTCAACTCAGCAGATGTAGGTAGCGACCATATCCTAGTATTATGTAAAATAAGAATCATCCTGAAATACTTTACACCCAAGAGAAAGGCCTCAACACAAACAAAAATCAAAGTCGAAGGACTAAATACGGAATCCACGGAATACTTATACAGTAAAAGAATATCAGAGAAAATCGCTGCAAATGAAATATTAGGAGACGATAACATCGAGGATAGCTAAGAAAAACTCAAAAATAACATAATTGACGCAGCAATAGAATCACTTGGAGGGAGGAAAGTAACAAACACTAATATATAACAAAAACACAGGCATACAACTACTATAAACGAATCAGAAATGAAAAGAATACTTTAGTTTAGTTAGTTAGTCGGAAAACTACAGAGGATTTAATTAATTAAACACAACACTAAAACTAACAACCAAAGTGATAACAAATAAACTGAATGAAATGATAACACTAGCAAAAGAACAACAAGGTTTTAGGTCGGAAAGATCATGCACTGACGCTATATTTACAATGAGGCAAGTGCAAGAGAAATCATTAGAATACAACAAACCGGCATGTCTATGTTTCGTGGACCTTAAGAAGGCATTTGACCGGGTCAAATTAAAAGACGTTATCCACTTACTGTATGCAAGAGAGATACCTCTACAGGTCTCAATAAATATCCCTTAGCTATCTTAACTTTGCACAGTTAAACACTTCCATCTTTACCAGTAAAATGTTCAACAACTTGTCCAGTAGGTCAATCTAAACGTTTACTGGCATCATCTGAACTCGACACACTTTCCGACACAATGAATCATTGTCTATAGCATTACAATCTGGTAGCCCCCAGTCCACCTAATCCCGCAAAAACATCGCCGGTGTCAAGGCAACTACCTCTTGAGGATCCTCCGCTAGATACATTAATGGTCGCGAATTAATTATTGCCTCACACTCACATAACAAGGTTAGCAAAGTCTCATAGTCCAAACTGGCACGACCTAATGTTTTTCTCAACAACTGTTTCATAACACCCATGAAGCGCTCCCAGAATCCCCTCACCAAGCTGGTGTAAGTGGATTAAAATGCCAACGAATACCTTGCACAGATATCTCACGAGAAACAATGTCCAAGTTCAGACATGATAAGGCATTTTCAACACCCACAAAACTCGTACCGTTATCACTATAAATCGTTTTCGGCCTACCACGACGAGAGACGAACCGGCGTAACGCCTGAAGAAAATCAGAAGTTGATAGCGAACAACAGAGTTCTAGATGAACCGGCCTAAAAATCGCACACGTGAACATACAAATCCAAACTTTTTCACCGGTCTTAAGAAATAGTGGTCCCGCGGTAAGTCAATAAAGGTCACTTCAAAAGCTACAGCGTCACGCACTGGACAACGGATATAACGGATATAACGGATCTTACACTTTTCCTTCCTAAGAAAATCCAAAACCTTTCTCGGAGCAAACTTAAAATACCTTGGGTCCCAACATGATAAGACTTCAAGCGATAATACTTAATCAACTTAATGGTTACCTCATGTTTGGATGGTAGTACGACTTGAAAACGGTAATACTGTGTATCTTCTCTGTTACAAACTCTAGATCTCAATCTAATCAAACCCCCTTCTTCATAAAATGAGTCAAGATAATTACTTCTTTTATCATCCACACCTAGGAAGCTTTTCTGCTGCACTTTTCTCAAAATAAATTTCTCTGCAGCTTCAAACTCTTCAGAGGTCAACTCACTTTTATACTTCTGGCCACCTTTGCGACTATTTTTTACAAAACGTTGAATCCAAGCCACCATTCGTACCATCTTAGTATATTGTGAAAAGTAGCTAAAATTTCAGTCACATGAAATATAAACAAAAACAAGAGATGTCACAAAAGTCTTCTTACGCTCTGCATTAACTTCTTCTTCATCACAAGTAACCGCACTAGATGGCCACCTATCACGGCTTTTATATAACCACTTCGGCCTCTCCCACAATCTCGACTGAAACAAATGTTTAGAAGTGTACCCTCGTGATGGCAAGTCTATCCAGCATGAAGCTTTCCATTGAAGTTAAGCTACGAATTTCTTTACCTCTATTCAATATAAAAACTCCCCATTCTTCTTAGTGTTGTATCCAGGAATAATAGTGCTTGAGTCACTCCAAAAACAGGATTCTATATTTCCAGGCAAGTTCTCTGCAACTTGGACATACAAACGGGCACCTATAGTTACAGCTAGCAGCTCCAGACGTAGAATAGTCATTTTTAAGGTTTAATTGGAGCCAATCTAGCTCTCGAGGCCAATAGAGATACAAATACATTACCAGCATAACTCACTCATAAAAAGATGGCACAAGCATAGGCCAGTTTGCTTGCATCACAAAAAACATGGATACTTAAATTTTGTACTGTTTCACCATTCATTTGTACCCATCAAGGCAATTCAATCTTCTCAAGATAAGGTAAATCTTTCATCCAAATTTTAAACTCTTCAGAGATGACTTCATCCGTTGGTTCGTCCTATGCCAAGCTCTTCTCCCATAACTTTTGTAACATGAGTTTAGCGACTAATAGAGCTGCAGATAAATACCCAATAGGATCAAACACTTTATGTTCTATAAAAAGGATTGATTCTACGTTTAGTCATTACCATATTTTCCCAGACAGTGTCCTCTCTTAATAATTTCAACTTAACTATTAAAACATCTCGTACAGCATGCCAGTTCATACCAATAACAGGACATATCTCTTCAGTTCCACTAACTTTATCATTCCTTGTACGCTCCCACCCTCTTTAACGTCGTTCTAGCTACGACAGACATATATAACGTAGATTTTTTTTCAACCTATTCTCTATCCTTCCATTGTTGGATATAGGTCTCCCCCAGTTCTCTCCATCTTTCCCTATCTTGAGCTGTTCTCTGCCATGTGGGACCTCCTTGTTTCCTGATGTCATCTTTCCACTTGTCTTCTGTCTGCCTCTGAGTGTTTTTCAGTTTTTGTTTTATAAACAATATCTTTTAATATTTATACAGCTTTTATTTCTTTAAAAGGAAGCAGTTTTTGTTAAGGATTTCTATTTATGCATTTATGCAGTCTTTATTAATTATGTAAGATATCTTACTATATATTTAAACAAACGGCATCCAACATTATATTGGTATTCTGATATAAAATTTGTTCAGTTAATACTTTTATTGGTTTTAACAATAGTTTTATTCTAAGCCTCGCATATATCGAGTTTTAAAATGTGATACATTTGGAATATTGAAGTGTTTTTATTCTTACTTAATAGTACCATTTATTATGGAATCATACAATTTTTAATATGAACAAAAACAGATTTTACAAAAACAAATTATTGTAGGATTATGGACTCAATTGAGGAATCTGCCCAATGTAATGACACTAGTGTGTTACTAGCTAGTGTTGACTGTGTAGGAGCCCTTTTAGAAACACTGGAGGCATTGTGTAAAGGTGAAGGAATAAATCATGAATCGGCCGATATCACGAATAGTCGATATATAACCCTAAAGCAAGCGGATTATTCTGGACCTCTAACTTATGAGTCCATGGCTAGACTTCCCACACCATACAGGTAAATAAATAAATAAAAAATAAGTAAGGATTATAATTAATATTATAATTTATTTTAATTTTACTAGCCGTTGCAATTTTAGTATTTGTTACTCTCGTCGTCAGAGACGAAAATGCCAGCGAACCTCTAAAAATTATACGAACAAGCTGGATTTTGCCGAGAATATTAATTTTAGGATGCCAAAAAAGATGCAAAAAAGTTTATTATTTTTACCCTCGGGACTTCTCCTAAGTATTGTTTTGAAGCTATTTTCTTGTGGCATTGTAAATTAATTACTATTAAACTGGGAATAAGCCACAATTAAAGATAAAAATACGTTTATTGACGTTTCAATTTCCACTTCGGAAATCGTTCTTAGGTTTGTATTTTGAGAACGATTTCCGAAGTGGAAATTGAAACGTCAATAAACGTATTTTTATCTTTAATTGTGGCTTATTCCCAGTTTAATAGTAATCAATTCTCCTAAGTAGAGGGAATAAATCGAAAAAAAAAATAATTTACCAAGAATCTGTACGCCATAGTTGGTAGTAGCACAAAGTTGATTTTAAAAACTTCCATATCATAGCCTCCACTCGCTTTTATAAACCAAGAATTATCCAAAAAGCCATAGAAATTAAAAAAAGGCTAAATTGTATTAATTAAAGAGATGACGGCATCAGGTTACCTTCGATATGGTGACTTCTAATAAAGAAAATATCGTCCGCTCGATCCTCCTTTGAAAATCCCGCCAGCAAAAATGTTCGCGCCAAAATCCATGCCAACCTCCAGCCAAACCACGTTACCATTGACGGTATAAATGAACCGACCGCTGTTTCCAGTAGTAGTAATGCATTGATTAGTGATCAGTGTAGTAGTGTATGGGGTCTCGGGAGACTGAGACCTCGGTAGCCCTGAAGAAGATGTCGAAAAGTCGGCGTGGTGGTAATCGAGGCGGTTCAACCCGAAAATCTGTTGAGTTTAATAATTATTATTCTTGTAATATTAATAATCTTAACTTTAGGTTATATAAGGCCAAATTATATTTGTAAAACTTTATTTTTCAATTTTTTTTAAGGGATGTTGTAGCAAATCTGAAGTATCATAGTGATTCTGATAGTAGTGGTATAGAAGGAAATATGCCAGAAAATGAAGGTGGTACAGAGTCTGATTGTTCTGGAGCTACCGAAGGGCCTGAAGATATTATTACTTCAGACGATAGCATTATAGATGATGAAAGTTTTTTAACTAACCAAGAGTTACAGAAGTTGTACAAATGGCCTAGATCATTTAACTTGGTAAGTAAAATGTATTGTTTAGTAAGTATTAACGTAATTAAGATATATTTTCAGCGATTTCTTTGGCGGTACATTGCATTTTCGGTTTTACATAAATGTAAACTCCTGCTAGATGCATGCATATACAAATTTTATAGGTTAATATATAACATAAATTTACTCAAATTCATTTAAATTTGGTTAAATTTTAGTTACTTAAGTTTACTTTTAAATTTTACTTAAATTTAAATATAAAATTATTTTAGACTAGCAAAATAGATAAAAAACAAAAATGTTTGAAAATTTTAAACACAAAACAATTGGTACATGCCTTTACCAAAGTGTTTGGCAGTAATAAATTAAATCCAAAACTACTAGAAGTAATAGTAAGAACCAAAATTTGCTTCGTTGCCTCTCAGTATTATAAAATTATCAGCTGGTGGGTTGCTGCTCTTTCAAATCCTGTACCGTTAGTCCCCGAAGCTGATCGACGACCAGAAATGGAAACAGAAAATTTGACGTACCTAGAATTGAAGCCAATAGCTGAGGTCATTACCGAAAACGATGGAGGCCACGAGAATTACGAAACTGAAGTGGGTGGTGAAATTAGACCTAACAATTTGAAGATTTCAGCTGAACAATTACATTTACCGTCCAAAGCCTTCACAGAAATTAAGAAGAAAAAAAAAGGAAAGGCTGAGCTCACGCCATGGAAAAAAAAAGAGGAACCTTGGCTTGGATTATATAACCCCTAGGAAAAAAACATGTAAGAAAGAGAGAACTAAAACCAGAATGTGGGGAGACATGTGTATTTAAATGTTCGGAAAATTTTAACAATTCTTAGAGTCAGCTGTTATTTGATGAGTACTTGACTGTGGGCTATTTGCAAGCCCGAAGGGTATTAATACACAACAATACCACAAGTGTAAATCCGAAGTACCGGAGGGTAGTGCATAATCCAAAAATAAATAGGTCGCTTAACCACATGTTTTTTTTAAACATTTCTAAAGGAGACAAAATCACAGTTTGTAAGATATTTTTTAATACTCTGGACGTAACCGATAGGTGCTTGCGAACAACCTTTTCCAAGGTTGGCGAAAATACAGTTTTAGCACGAGAAAAAAGAAGATGCAAAATTCCAGAAAAACGTTAATACCTAAAGAAGACATTCAAAATGTGCGCAAGCATATAGATAGCATCCCAAGAGTGGAAAGCCACTATTGTCGAAAGGAAACCTCTAGAGAGTATATAGATTGGGGCAAGACAGTTGCAGATTTGCACAAAGACTAAGAATAATATAAACTATATACATCAGGGAAAAAAGCTCTGTCTTACCACCAATATCATAAAATATTTCAAACCTGTAACATCAGATTTTACAAGCCCAAAAAAGATCAATGTGACCATTGTGTCATCTATAAAAATACTCCACAAGACAAGAAAACAGATATTCAAATATAATACGAAAACCATAATTTAGAAAAAGATCTTGTCAGATTAGGTAAACATACAGACAAAAAAGAAACAACAAAATCAATAGTTGTCTCTGCTGGTGGTCTCTGCTTACGACCTGCAGGTAGTCTTGCCTTTCCCACAGAGTGAAATATCATCATTTTATTATTCTCAAAAGTAGCGATGTATGATTTGTAACATAAAAAATATGGAGACTTATTGTTATACATGGACACAAACAGATGGGAAGAGAATATGTACATTGCTTTATGCCTTTAAAAATATTTAGACAGTTTGAAAGATTATTCGCTACAAATTAAAAAACCTTTGGATATAATTTTTTAATCTGACAATTATGCAGGGCAACAGAAGAACCAATATGTACGTCGAATGTACTATCATGCTCTTAGGAAATTCGACTATAATATATCCAGTATGACTCATAAATTTTTAGTAACGGGACATACTCAGAATGAAGGTGATGCCAACAATACATTCATACAACCCAATAAAACGGTTGAACTGTCATTCAAAACTTCAAAAGTTTTAAAATGCTACCAGCAGTAAAGCTTAATAATTTTAAAAGTAGCCAAACATCTATGATTAGAGTGAATAAAAATGAACCGCAGAAAACCATGGTTCTGAATGGGAAAGGGAAAACTGGCGACCTTGAACTTCTACTGCTATCAATGAGGAGGTACCAGCTCTTTACAGTAACAAAATTCAAGTCAAGGGAAGCAAAGTGAAGGCCCTAATCAATTTAATACATATGGGTGTAATTCCTGAAATGTATAGAATTTTTTAGGAAAACTTGTGATTTGCTTATCTTTTTTGTAAGCTTAAGCAGTTTAATTTTTGTTCCTGAAAATGTTTTTGTTTAAGACTTAGTTTTGCTTGGTGTTAACAAATTTAAGTTAGTTACTAGTGTTACCAATATACTAAATAAATTTCTTATAAAACTTATTTTTACGTTTTCCCCTTTATTTATGGGGTAATATAATATAACAATTCATATCAATTATTCTATGCTAACATTCCTATCATTATTTCAAACCCTTGGTATTTTTATTACCTTTATGTTGGCATCTACAAAACCTCTCCTTCAATCTCACCAGCTGATTGTCAGTTCTGACATTCGAGCTTTCAAATACTTCATTTCGCATGTTATGGTCATAACAGTCAAGAACACTGAGCAGTGCCGTTGTTAATATAACATTTCAAAATTGAAAAGTACATTTTTTGATAGATTTTATAATCAATCAATGTTTTCAAAAGTTAATTTTTTTTTGTGTGTTTTGGCTTGGACAATTGTCATTCAGCCAGTCTCAATCAAGATAAGTTTATTAATGTAGTGTGTGTGTGTGTGTGTGTGTGTGTGTGTGTGTGTGTGTGTGTGTGTGTGTGTGTGTGTGTGTGTGTGTGTGTGTGTGTGTGTGTGTGTGTGTGTGTGTGTGTGTGTGTGTGTGTGTGTGTGTGTGTGTGTGTGTGTGTGTGTGTGTGTGTGTGTAGAGTAATAGTCTTGATACTTAGCAAAGTCGACGTCATTGTCTTTGCTAAGAGACGCTTATTGTATCCGAACGTCTGCGGTCCCTCCGGTGAGCACCGATCAGACAAGGATAGAAATTATTTTCATTTATTAATTTTTTTAATAAACGAAAATTTCCAGCCAGGTGAGATTCGAACTCACGACCTTTAGGTTTAAAGGTAGGCGCTCTTACCACTGAGCCACAGAAGGTTAAAAAAAACTAATTGATGCACTAAGATGGAAGAAAATACTAGTAGCTATAATGTTTTTAACGATGTTAAAACCCATAAAGGTGGAACCGTATAAAATATATAATCCGGTACCAGGATTTTTCACAGAAGACCTTGGAGAGGTCGTCATAGACCGGGGAACATTTCGAAAAAGGTGTTACTCGAAAAGGGAAGAATTCGAACAGAGCACCAACTAATAGGAAATATGATACAAGGCGTACGAGAACTGTGTCAGGAGATAAAAATCGTGAATTGTAAGGATATAATAGGGAAGTTAGAGGAAGGACAAAGAAAGGCGGAGTCAATAAGCGAGGGGTTGACAGTAGAAATAAAAGGAAGGAAAAGAAGAGGAATATTAGGAACAATATTAACCTCAGTATTTAGAGTCAATGACGAAGCCTACAGTAACATTGAAGCATTAGATAATAACCAAAAGGAGCTAATAAAGGGATCACAGCACCAGGCGAAGATAATGTTAGAAACAATAACATCACTCAATCACACAGAGGACAGGATAAACGAGCAAATGAACAAGTTTAACAAAGCACTAATCACAGGTCTGCAAGAAATATCTAAAGGACTCAACGAAGTAGAAGACAAAGCACAAAGACTAGAAACCGAATATAGCACGTTACGAATACAAACTATAGCATTACAAGTTATGGACTTCATAAACGAATATACTCAATTTCACGAGGGAATTTTAAACCTTCACTATAACCACGGACACTTCATTGATATAGTGAAGCCGGGTGAAATAACCAAATTAATAGAGAAAGCAGGGCAGATACTGCCTCAAGGGGTCGAAATACGACGACAACCCATTATAGAAACAGAAGTCAGTCATGACGACAGATATATAACAGTCATCGGCTACTTCATAGTGACAGGGAGTCACTATGAATACATAGTCACAAAATAAGTACAGCCTGCTCAAAGTTACGGCCATACCACTTAACATTGAGGGGTCGGTGTTGCGCACATTTGTCGCTCCAAGGAATCTATTGGTCGTAGATTATAACACACTGCACTACTTCGAATTGACCGTGGAAGATAGAGAAAAGTGCTTACTGTTGACAAAGGCGCAGATAGCGTGCTCACCAACGGCTATAAGAAACATGGATACCCAACCAAACTGCATACTTGAAGAAATTTATGAGCGATCTAAGAATAGCACATGTCCACTGGTAGCCAGGACAATGCAGACAGCTCAATGGAGTAAGATGGGTAATCCCAACCTCTGGCTAGTTATCACGCCAGTCACGATACACATATCCATTATTTGCGATGGAAATCGGAGCGAAAGAGTACTGGAACGAGTCACATTCCTGAAGCTTTCACCCAAATGTATCGCCCAAACGAAAAATATTACATTACTCTCCACTAGCAGCGGGGTGGACAGAGCGGTGACGAGTTACCTGAAGTCGCCAATCACTTCCGTGGCCCAACTGGTGGCGAGGACACCCCGCAGGTTTAACACGCCTCTAAACACCTACCTTGATATACCAGGAGGAGAGCTACGTCATGTGTTACTTGAGGAGGAAAGTCTGGAACAAGAAATGACGCATACGCAGTGGCGATCGATTCACGAATCTAATTGGCATTATTTTGTGGCCACCGGGACCATTACTATAATGGTAATAATTGGGATACTCACGTTATGGAAGTACCGTACTGTTGCACGACTATGTCGTTCAGAGAATCCACAAACTCAGACTAACGAACAGAAAGTACCTGTATTAGTTAGTAATCGGCACAACAATGTACCGTCGACTTCCCGAGCCTACATCCCACCCTCCACATTTTCATCCAATTGCCCTAATTTTAATCTAGAGATAGAGTCGGACATTGATAGCTAGGGTAGCGGTTGGAAGATTATTGATTATTCTTAAACTACTTATAATTTATCATGTTTGAATTTTACTGTTATGTTATACTTATATGTAAACTTTGAGTATTGACACTTGGGCCAGATTGCCCGATTCCGCAGTATGTCCAATATCAAATCTTCAGAATTCATATCCGAAATTGGACAGTATAATTTTATCACCCAGTAGACCGAATGAATTTATTTGTTATTAAATACACACACGTAGTTAATTAGGTTACATACGGATTTGGTCAATTATCAACAATATAATTTGGACATCAGTCAAAAGTGCTGACAAAGTTAAACAATTTACATAAATTAGACACATATATCACGCGAGGCCCGCGAATATATTGACCCAATTAAAACTTATATAAAACTAATATCTCTTGCCTAAAGAAGCATTCAATCAATATTCACTCAACAAACTTGATAGTCTTCAGCGATAAACTGCAACAGTCTCTACTCAAAGTAATCCCGGGTCAACACCCATAGTGTACGTCTCATCAATAAACTCTGCTACTATTATTTGGTGTTTCCATTACAACTGAACGAACATCTCCACTGAGCCAACGAAGGGGAATTTGTTCACTCATTTTTTGATTTACATTGTTTAGCTGAGTGGCCATATCTCAGACATTTGAAACACTGTACAACAGGTTGTATGTAAGATTCAAC